AAGTTGGGAAGAACCCGGTGGCGCCACTTATGACTCCCTAGGCTACTCGTTAAAAAACCCAATAATCCTGCCGACGCCGCAGGGCTAAATAAAACAGAAAAAAAAGCTTTCCGAGAGAGGGAACGGGAGCGCCACCGGAGACTTCATATACAGCTATACCTAATGAAATAACCGAAATACTCATTATAATATATATTTTTTTTAATAAATATATTTTTAAGTACCTATATTTTTTTTCATAAATATATTACACCAACCCCCATAGATCAGTAGTATATGACATATAATGTGAAACAAAATAAAAATAACTGATAAAAAAATAGTAGTATGAGATACCAAACCAAATTTTTATCATTTATATCATTATCACTCATGAAATTAAAATAAAATGAAGTGGTGTTTATATTATGTTTGTTAAAACACCCTGTGTATAGGTAGAATTGGTTCTATAAACGATACTATGTCATTCGTCTGTAAAGTAGCGTTGTTGCCACAAACGTTCAGAAAGCTAAAAGAAATGATAGTTTTCGCGCCGCTGTGATCATACGTTAACGCCCACTTACTAAACCGAGGATGCTTAGGGGTAGCAGGTACCGTCGCTAGTTAGATCCTAGACATAGTCCCGTGAAGATGTCTGAAAATCTAAGGAAACTTTTGCGCCAACATTATAAAATCGCGTGGGGTTCCATTACGGAGGAACAATTAGATTTTATTATGTCGGACGATGACATATTTCCGGAAATAGTAGAACGTCTGTGTAGTAGTGCAACCAATACCGTTGAAAAATCGGAAGTTTTCTACCGGAAACCCATGACACCCACACAATCAATACTCACGGACTATTACAACGATGTTCAGGGTTCCTGTATCCTAGAACAAATAAACTTTATCATATCTGATAAAGAATCGTTCGAGGATGTGATAAATCGCGTGTTCGGTAAGGGTTCTGTCATCAAAAACTTAGACCTAATTTGTGACAAACCCCGCAATCGATTTGGAGTAGGGGCTCACGCGAAAGAAATAAAAATATCCGCGTCTGTGGAGGAATCATCAAGATCACCGCCGCCACCATCACCCGTCGTAACCCGACCTACATCTGTTGAGGAATCGTCCACAGAACCATCATCTGAGAGCTGGAGAAGTATCTGTGGAGAAATCGTCATTCACACAACCACTAGGGCCTAAAATAATGATTCACCAGGATTTAATTATTTTACAGGCGGTCCCGCAAATTCCAGCCACCAACATCGAGGGGCACAAACATGTTGCGATATCGGGAATTAATCCGACGTCGCCGTCGATTCCGCAAATCGACAAGCAACGCCCTTCCACGTCGAAAGCCCCCAGAACAAACCTGCTAGCCATCGGCAAGTATTGAAGCACCAACCTTCGACATCGAAAAGAAAGAGACGGCCCTAAAAGAAAATAACGATACTCAAAAGTGGAATTTGTTCTCGGAAAAAATATGCTGAAATGTTGAGAAATGAGCCGGATATTCTCTCAAGATATCCGGTGGAAACGCTTGTTCCTAATTATGATGAGTTTCAGGAAGTTGATGTGTTAAGATGGTGCATCAACGAATGGGGGTATTATTTGTCCTCATAACATAATTATTTCTTTTATTTCAGTAATATATATGTATAAATATAAACTATACATGTATATGTATAGTATATATTTATACATATAAAGGTGTTGGTTTTTTAGCCGGTAGGAATCCGGCACAGTACATTGTATGGGCAATGTAGTCGTCCATGAAGGATTTTTCCAACTCCACGCAAAAAAAAAGTTTTATAACAAAAATATATCTATAAAAGAAAATACAATATAGAAGAGAAAAAAATATAAAAAGACAAAGAAAAAAAATCGATGTGATCGTGCAGACCAACTTTTTCTCCCTACTTTAAAATTTTTGGACCTATGAATTAAAATAATTCGCGGAGACCAAAAATTTTTTCGCGCTTTCGCGAATTTCATTTCTTTTTATGGCGTTTTCTCCAAAAACGCGAATGTCCGAAATTTTTTTTTCGCAAGAGATATACCATACCGAGTTATACTATATATGTTTTATTTATTTTTTTTATAATACAGTCTTCAAATACAACCTATTGTTAAATAAATATTGTCTGGCTGTATTAAATATGTCTTCAATGTTGTAACTAAGTAATGTACTAGTTCTACCGTATGATCGAGAAAAAACGGCGTCAACGGTGGCTATGAAATGAAGATCGCTGTCATTTTATATGTAAATTTATATGGGAGATGTCACTGATCGTCATTTCCCAGCCAACTGGACGCCATTTTTTTTCGATCATACGGTACTTATTGCAATAAATATATTTTTCCTCATAGTGTGTTTGTTTATTTTTATTTTTATAACATACCTTCACTTTAGAATTAGAATGTGATTTAAATATCTCTTTCTAGAATATATACGATTTTCAAAAAAATATTTTTTTTTAAATAACACTCGGATTTTAAGGTTTTGAAATAATAAAAAATATATGCTTAATAATCTATAATTAACTAGAATCTAAAATAACATTTTTTTCTACTTAATCTAAAATAACATATTTTTATTTTCTAAACATATCTTAATCTAAACTTAAAATTTAAAATAACAGTCCTTTTTTCCTTCATGGCGTTGTTGAGTCGCAAGGCCCATTATCCGGTGTAGACACCCTACTAGCGTAATGCCAGTCGCTTTGGTCGGGTAAATTTCTTAAATCTATCCTCCTGTCATCATAAAACCAGTGCGACTGGCTAACATCTCCGCCCTCCGATCTCAACTAGACATCCTCCAGACTAATGTTGGGTACTGTATCACCTGTATATAAGGTGCTAGTCTCACTGCTACCATTGACGTCTACCATTTTGGGCTTGATTTGTAAATGATATTTTTTCTCCAGATTTTTTCCTCTTAAATACATTTAAGTTGGAGGTGGGGGTAGAAAAGTAACATGTGGTGGGGTGAATATTATTACTATACTAGTAAATAGCTTTATCAGTGACAGAGCCGTTTAAAATATTATACATAGGAGTCATGAATAATTAATATATATACTCTAATGTTTGTAGCGAACGTTTCTGCAGTAGAAAACTCAATTTTAATATCAACAGTTGAAGATTTTATAGCCTCAGTCTGGTGTGATGTGTCTATAATAAAGACGGGTTGATTTGCAAAATCTTTTACATCCATAAGTGCATCACAGTAGTCTTTATCATAATAACTTTTTTGAAAAATTTTCGTATGCATAATATGTAGATCCATATCATTTCTTTTTAAAATCTAAATTTTATCTCTCATAAGGAAACACAGTCGAGTTTAGATATACTCTAATATTAGTTACATCTGCGTGAGTAAAATGAATGTCGTTTTTATTAATATTATCATTATATAGTTGTACAGTCTTTTATTGTATTTTAAATACTTCAAAACAATTGTAGCAAAACTGATTTTTATCATCTTTTCCATCATCCACCACATCCTCCATTTTTATATTATTCTCGTTTTTTATTTTAACATCATTAATTTGACAATAACAGCAAAATATTCTTCTAGGTGGTGGACCATCATAAACATCGCCGTCGTATAATTGGTGATGATCATTACAGTATTGGTACTTCTACATATCACCATCATTCTGTAATTCTTTCGGTAATTTGAGCCATACATATGCAATTTCATCCGATGTACATGTAATCATAACTTTTTTCGGTAAATACTGTAATTCCTCACATGTCATATTAATTACCACCACATTTTTTAAATGCATTAAGCGCGGTATTTATGTTTTTTAATATATCTTCACTTTGACGTTTCATCGTAAATGCGTTAAACGAACTAATGCGAATTGATCATCATCTGCTATATATACGCGAAAAACGACCTTGATAATCAATTAACCGCTTTATTATTTTTTTTTCTGGACTCATTGTTTCTTTCTTCACAGTATAATGTTATAATGTTTACTACTATTTATTCGGGTGGTTGATTTCGTATACGAGCTTCATATACTCTCGAATATTTTTTTTCAAGTCTCTTTTCACTCAAATCTATAGCCCTAGTAATTGCTTTCAGTATACTCTCACAAACATTTGTATTTATTTTCTCTATAACACTATTTTGAGATTCTAATACGCGTTGAATTTTAGCTTCTAATATATCACTAAAATATTTCGTCGTCGCAGCATCATCTATATTAGATTTTGATGATACAATCAACATGATTTGATCAACTTTCTTTTCACTCAAATCTATAACTCTAGTGATGGTTTTTAATATATTCTCATGAAAATTTGTATTTATTTTTTCTATAACACTATTTTGAGATTCTAATACACGTAGAATTTTAGATTCTAATATCGCATTAAAATATTTCACTGTCACAACATCATTTAAATCAGATTTTGACTGTAACATACACCCAAACTTATCAATTGTACTGTGATCACTCATGATGTTAAATAGCAACTAAACAATATTTGGGTAATAAAACACAAAATAGTTTATTAATATATTTAATCAGTTTAAAAATTCGATAGAAAATTTAGGCATAAATGCCCACAATATATTGTACCAAATTTTTGTTGTCGTTCATACGTATAATATATATTTTTAGCTGCATAACATCCTTTTTGTAAGTAATATATTAGGTCGAGTGGTGGTTGTCAATCACCAAAACTGTCATAGTATGTAGCAATAGTATCTTTTTTTTATATGCAACCCAGTGCGTCCCTAACCCATTTACACTATCAAAATTTAATATAGCACATTCATATTTCTTCAGACCACATCATCACCTCTATTCAATCGTTTATTCAATTTAGTACCTGGACCACAATACTGATAATCTGGAAGATGTAATTCAATTGGAAGCTTATTAATTCGAGGGCTGAGAAACCATAGGGTTCCAAGCGACATTTTTTTTTTCAAAATTCACTTTTTTGCAGGAATCTGTTCTATAGGTAGGTCTTTAATTTGTTGTAAAAATTGTAAACTTGTGTTTCTCTTTAATAAAATTACAATAATTTCCAAATTTTACTATAGCTTTTTATACACAGCCAGATTTCTTTTTAGAGCCATAGAGTTTCAAGTACAGTGCTTACAGTGCCACAAGGTGCCAAGTACAGTAACAGCGTTTTCTAAAAACGAAAAAATACATAATTCGAGTTTTTTATAGCAGCTTTTTATGTATGTTTTTATAAATAAATCCCTATACAACATTCCCAAGTATATTTCAATTTGATTTCTGTTATCATAATGAATTTATCGAGTATCAAACTTTAAAATTAATTTTTTTTTAAGAAAATTACCCAAAATCCTTATTCCAACCAAAATATGAATATCTCAAAAGTGTTGTGACACCTATTACTGGTTTAGGTTATTATACATTTTGTGATAAAACTAATATCGTTCACCCTTCCAAAGCTATATTAAATTCAGTTTTTATATTTGATGTGTGAAAAGCAGAATGTTATCAGGACTTATTTTTCTATGGGTAGGCATAACAGTTAGTTCGTGATAATGCAAATTTTATTATAATGTTTAAGCAAGATGAAATGAATTTACGGCATATATATTCAGATCATGTATCACCTGATATATCGTTTAATATGTTCTTGGAAATATGTGCGAAATATTGGGATAATAAATATGGTTTTCTCATTATAGATAAAGATAGTGAAGTTAATTCTGGGAGATATCGCAAAGGTTTTGATAGTTATATAATCATAGATCAATTTACTTTTAATTATTGTTTGCTGTGATATCCTTGACGACCAAATTTACATTTTTAATTGATACTAATTAAAACCGTGCGATAAACCTGTATTTAAATAAAATAAAAGCTCCTAACATATGAAAATCGATGGATTTCGACTGAAGAGATATTTTAGCCACCATAAAAAGAAAAAAGGATCACGAAAAACAAATCTCGCAACATGATTTTTCAGAAATATGACACTAAACCATAGAGAGGCGGAAGGCATTAACAAAGCACGGCCAGCGAAAGCCTATGACAAAGGCCACCCATCAATTCGAATAATTGAAACTCTGCATTCCAAGGGATAGCAGCCCCGTTTTACAATGCCTCTCGGGACCCACGTAGGTACCGAGTACCGAGAAGATATCTATTATGTATTTCCTTAAAAGATAATCACTTTAAACCCCTATTAACATACCGTGTCCACCAGAGGAATTTTAGATTTTACCAGCAGCCGTACTTTTAACTTTTCAAGACGTCACGTATCCTCTCGGGACCCACGCAGGCACCGATCAGTTATATGGTTTTTAGGGTAACATATACATTTCAATAGCTTTTTTTCTGTCCTATCATGTATGTTTTACTTGTTTCTAACAATATAGTTTTTTAGTAAAAATAACTTTTTTCTAGCATATTGTTTTTTTACTAATTAATCAATCAGTTATAGGAAGTTTTTCGAGATGCTTCTGTTTTACCAGGTTTAAATTGGATAATTGTCAATTTGTAGATAGGTTATTTTTTTTTACTTATAATATATTCTGATTACCTGTTAAATAAATATTGTTTTTCTGTTATTTTTATATCTTCTTTTTAATTATATGGCATATTAACTGCATTTCATTCTGCCCTCCAGCAAATAATAAGTAGGTATGGAATTTTTTTGTATAATTAGTCTTTTCTAGTGTATTATATTTTGTTAACAAATTTGTTCACTTCAGTTATAGAAAGTTAATAACAAATAGCATTATGGGGATCGAAGGCATGGTGACTTTGAAAGAACGGTGAGGGGGGGATCGGTGGGGAGGGATATGGTGACCTTCAACATGGGTGTGCGCGTGTTTCTCAAACCTTGGTTTCTGCGCATTTGGTGACCTTGAGGGGTGGGAGGTTAATCCGAAACCGATAAGGCCCTCTACTTCTGTACTATCTGTCGGCAATCCTGTTGGCCAATACAACACTCTAAAGAGGCCAGAACGAGGACACCATGAATCAATACAGCCGTAACTACTGACTAGGCTTAGAAATGGAAATGAAGCAGCATGGGGCTTACGCTACATCCTGTGGCAATATGGGTACATCCTGTGGCATACTGTGGCAATATGGGGACACTACCCGTGCCTTGGATACTGTCCGTAACTTGGACATCCGTCCATAAGATAATGTCCGTCCATAAGACCCTAAAATTACGAAACTCTTGTTTAAAATCAAACAAGGTCCAATAAACAAAACAAGCCTAGCTCGAAATACTTCCGAGGGTCTATACACAAACAAAGGCAATTTGCCCTTTCTTCCAATACAGTACCCGGAGGATACAAGCAAAGGAACGCAAACGTGCCAGCAAAATACAAGTTAAGTTGGGACATCCGTAACTCTTAATTCTAAAAAAAAATATTCAATAATAATATCGAATCTAAAAGGATAATATCTCATCTTTACCTGTAGCTTCGAAATAGCAGCTGATTCAAATTATACAGCAATATTTAAATAATTGCAATTTCTAAAAGTCGGGTATGCAACAGAGCGGCAAAACCAAGTGAGGTTAAGCACGGAGACCTTGGAGCGATGTTGATAGCGCCTCCACAGCAGTCAAACGATAACAGGGTTGTGGACTAGAGAACATAAAAATTACGTCAGGCGCGTCAAGTAAATGATCAGGCCTGAGCGATACGGACTCCGGTGGTGATACGCCAGACATCATATATTATATATGAAAGACATGTAACGAACTAAAAACGTTACAATACCTAATTAAAACACCTTTTTTACGCAATTAAATAGATCATAAAAAAGCTTCGGAATAATTAATTGATCGTAAGATAATAACGTACTGCAGTAGAGTAATGTCAAATAAAATAATATTAGAAACATCCTAAAAAAAGTGACAGCGGCCGACTAGATTTTTTCCTAAAAAAATACAGCAGCCCACTAGATTCTTTATCTAAAAATGTTTTTGGTCGTGATATGTAATGCTTTACATTTTAGTTTTTAATTTCAAATCGGTGAGTTTTATCAAAAAAACACAAGAGATAAAAAAAAGTTTCTAAATAACAAAGTTTCTAAACAAACTAAACTATTCAAATTATTTTTTTTGCATGTGTTTGACAACATTTTTCTTTAAATTTCGTTAACAAGAATGATAGGGGTAGTTTATTTCAACCCCTTCCACTCATTTTACAAAAGTGAGAAAATTACCAGAATGTGTGTTTTAAGTTCGTGTTTAAGTCTGTTAGAACAGTAATGCTTCCATAAAATTTCATTAGTCTTTCGCTTTTCATTTTCAAGATAAAAAATAAAAACATTATTTTTTCGCCATCTTTGTACCGCGGTACCTAATGGTTGACTTTTGACCCAACGTTTATAAAGATACCGCAAGCTACCTCACCTACTTGACCCACCACTGGCAACTATGCCAAGGGAGGTAAGAACTATTAAGATTGGGTCTGACAGGGAGGCTATAGCTGCTTGCAAGTCCCTGGCGATGGAAAATCCAGAAATTCATTGTGCAGGGAAGTGAAGAGAGATGGTTTGGCAAAGAGGACCCGATGACCCCACCTATAGTAATGGCTGTCTCAGGACTCCAGATGCGGTAAAATGGACGTTACGTGTTGGCTGTGTTGAGGGACCCTCCATTTTGAAATCTCTTAGGCTATCTCTCGCCTTGCTATATCTTCACGATCAACCATCCAGTGTGTGTTTTGGAAGGACACACTAGTACCACAGCATCAAATTGATGCTTGCATCAGAAGGGCTACTCTAGTGACCTGGAATCCTTGCGTAAGTTGTACTACCGCTTCCACAACGCCTATGGTATTGGTTCAACTAAAGTTGATGCAGATCTTTCAGCTTAGGTCATTCTTTTCTGCGGAGAGCCTTCTACGACTTCAAAAGATTAGGAAAGTCATGGCAAATATTATTCCAGTGGTTCCCCAAATAAGAGTAAAAAATTTTATTGAATTGACGCGAATAGAGTGATCTAGCACCGTCTGAAAAATTAAGCGATAGTGCTTGGTCTGCCCTTTATTAATATTCAGTCCTTTAAGACATAAACAGATTAATTATATCTTACTAGAAGAACTTTGAATTTTCCAGATATCATTGCCATAACTGAGCACTGGTTGAATTTTGATGAGCCTGTGTTTGTTAAAAATTAATATACCACAGTAGCCAGATTTGATAGAACAACTTTTTCTCATGGAGGTACTATGATAATGTTCCTTAAACAACGACTTTCCGAGGTAACTAGGTACAATGATTTGTTATCTGAAAAGTATTCGAATTTTCTCCATTGTCCACCATAATGCTTATGACCCTTTACATTATTTGTATTTATAGAACACCCGACTCTGACGTGCAATTATTCTGTCATAATCTACTGCTTGCTTGAGTCCCTGCCCTTGAAAAGCAAATTAATTTTAGGTGTGGTGATCTTAATATTGGACTTTCTTAGTGTATGTGTTGCTCAGGAGTTTCTTCAGTCCATTTTGATTCTTTTGAATGCACTATGCATGTAGGCTCATCACCAGAGCATCCAATACCAGTTCTAGTACTATAGACTATGTTGTGTCATCTTTGATCCTAACTCCATCGCCTGCAACGTCTTTTAGCTTTCCTCGGTCTCTGATCATGAAGCAGTTTTAACTGAATTTTCGATAAAAGTCCAAAATCAAAATGCCCTCGTAAATTATGCCGCATTTTTCAGAAAAGAATGCTCAAAAGTTCAGCCACTTATGTAAAACAACCAACTGGGATACTAGCTCTTACATGATGTCGACACCGAATTTTCTATTTTCGTAAAAACATTGAACCAGTCTAGTTCAAATCCTTCCTCTTTTTAGGCCTATAAAAAATAAGCATAATAAACCTTGGACCACTAAAGGTCTACGCATATCTTCTAAAAACATGTTCATTATCTCAATTTAAAAATTCCTTGTACAGTCTCTTCTTTCCACAATTACGTAAAAACTATACAGAAAAATTTATCATAAGACTATAAGAGCCGCTGCTATGACCTTTTATTATAATAGGAGAATAGTCAATTCTGGTAATGTTGCTAAGGAAACATGGTCTATTGTGAATGATTTGAGGAACAAAGCTTCTTTGTCTAGCAATATCTCTACCCGCTTGAGAACCTTAACGATTACTTTGTAAATGTAGCGAAAA